CTTACATGGATACAGTACTTTGTATTTTACAAAGCTCTTTTACCCCTATAACATCTCTGGGGCAGGATCCTAGCATTTAAGAGTCAAAAGAGACATGAGAAATCATCTGATCCAATGCCTTCGTTTTAGAGATAAGGGAGATGAGGTCCAGAATTTAAGTGATTTGCTTGGTCAGTAAGTCAACAAGCCTTTGTTAAATACTTATTATGTGCTATCCACTGTTCTCTACACACAAAGCCAGAATGGATAAAACCAAAATAAAGAACCCAGGCCTCCTGACTTTCAAGCCAAGTCTCTTTCTGTATCCCTATACTTACAGTAGCTTTTATTAATAATATACAAGAAGGCAAAATAGGCACTTTCACCAGCTAATGATAATTAACAATAATAACTAATGAATAACAAAATAAATAACTATTGATAATAATTAGTGATAATTTGTATGTATAAAGTACCTTGCAGTTTACAAAGTGCGTTCCTTACAATGACTTCACAAAGTAAAGAGAATAAGCACTGTTATTCCAGTTTTACAGATGAGGAAACTGAAGACATATGTCCAATATTACACCCAATTAACTACCTAGCAATAAAACTAAGACTAGTACAAAAGTCTCTAGTCTCCTAGTTCGTTGCTCTTTCTGTCATAGTATCTCTCTAATAGGATGTCTCCCTACCCCAGTATGGTGGAAAGCTGATAATGTGAACTTATGCCTCTTTCTCCATCATCTATTCCACATATCAGGAACACCTCAAAGGGTTCTTGGTTCTTAAGATCTGCAGCACAATCCCATTGACAAAGAGGTTCAAAGGAAGCACAGGACTGAAGAAGGGCAGAGGTCATCCCATTTTCCCAATTAAAAGAGAGAGTAGAATGTGTTAAAATACAGGTCCATAAGTTTGACCTCAATTCCCGGCAAAATCTAGGTCATATTACTAAAGGGATAGTTAGTGAATATTTAGAAAAGGAAGTGATGATCACAAAGAGACACCTTGGTTTCATCAAGAACAAATTATAGCAGCTAACCTCATGTGTTTTTTTTGACAGGGTTACTACTAGACTCTTTAGATCAAGAGGATGCTCCAAATATAGTTAGCCTCGATTTTAGCAAAGCATTTCTCTCACGAAATTCTTGTAGAAAGGTCAAAAAGATGTGAGCTAGACAAATGGTACACTTAGGTGGATTTAGAAGTAGTTGAATGATGAACCCAAAGACTCATCGTTAAGACTCACAGTCATCTTGGAAGTTCTCTAGTGGAACATTTCTTGGCTCTGTGATTAGCCTTGAGCTAATTAGTGTTTTTATTGATAACTTGGATAAAATCATAAATGGCATACATTTCAAATGTACAGATAACCCCAAACTGCCAATGGGTGAGTCAGAATGCAAAAAGATCTTGACAGGTTGTAACACTGAGTAGAATCAAATAAGAAAAAAACTTGATAAGGATAAATATAAAGTCTTACATCTGAGTGAAAGAATTAACTTTAACTTCACAAGCACAAGATGGGGAAGGCAAAAGATCTGGGAGGTTTAGTCAAGGCACATCAACAAACATTTACTAAGTATGTGCCAGACATTGCTTTGGGGATATAGAGAAAGGCAAAAACAAACCAAAAAACCCAATGGAAGGGAGGAGATAACATGCAAAGAATTTTGTACAAATAAGATAAATTGGAGATAATCTCAGGATGACAGTAGCTAAAATTAAAGTGGACTAGAAATTCCTCACTCAGAAGATTTTTGCTGAGACTTAGAAGCCAGTAAGGAGAGATGAGAAGGGGAAGAATCCCAGGTGTGAAGGACAGCAAGTGAAAATGTGTTATTTGAGGAATAGCAAGGAAACCAGTATCATTTGGATCAAAGTATATGTGGGAAAAAGTAAGGTATAAGAAGACTGGGAAAATAGGTAGGAGACAGTTGATGAAGGGCTTTAAAAGCCAAAGGCTTTTGATCCTGGAAGTAATAGAGAGCCACTGTAATTTACAGAGTAGTGGGGATAGAACAACATGGTCTGACCTCTCCATTATGAAATTTACTTTGGCTGCTGATTGGAGGATGGATTGGGGTAGGGAGAGACTTGAGGCAGGCAGACCCACCAGTAGGCTATCGCAATAGTCCAGACATGAGATAATGAGGGCATGAATCAGGATGGTGGCAGTGTCAGTGGAGAGAAGGGGACATATTCAAGAGATATTGTAAAGGTAGAATGGACAGGTCTTGGCAATGAGTCAATTACAATTTCAAGGTGAGTCAACAGTATGATGCAGCAGTCAAAAACACTAGCATGCTGTTAGATTGAGCTGAAAAGGAAGGAAATGCATTTATTAAATGCCTACTATGTGCCAGGCCTTATGCTAAGAACTTTACAAATATTATCTCATTTGGTTCTTACAACAACCCTGATAGGTAGGTACTATTATTATCCCCATTTTCTTTCTTTCTTTCTTTTTTCAAGGCAATTGGGGTTAAGTGGCTTGCCCAGGGTCACACAGCTAGTAAGTGTCAAGTATCTGGTCTGAGGCCAGATTTGAACTCAGGTCCTCCTGACTTTAGGGCTGGTGCTGTATCTACTGCATCACCTAGCTGCCCCTATTATCCCCATTTTACAGACAAGAATATTGACTCAGACAGAGGCTAAGTGACTTTCTTAGAGTGTCTGAGGATGGATTTGAACTAATGTTTTTCTGACTCCAGACCCAAGGCTCTAATCACTCTAAGCACCACCTTGGTTTTAATAAGAGAGGCATAGTTTCCAGGCCCAGGGAGCTTAATAATAATTTTGTACTCTTCTCTGATCCAATCAGTATCTGGAGTATATATTTTCCAATCTGAGGAACCATCTTTTAAGAAAGGCGTTATTGATAAGACGAAGAGTGACCAGAATATTAGAGGACCTTAAGATTAGGTCACATGAGGACCATTTGGAGGAACATTTATTTTCTTCATATATTTAAGGGGCCAACACGTGCAAAAAGGATCAGACTTGTTCTGTTTAGCCACAGAGAATAGTTCTGGGATCAGCAGCTACTACTATTCTTGCTGAAGTTACAAAAGGCACATTTGGGCTTAATGTAATAATGAGAGTTGTCCACAAATGAAATGGACCATTTTGAGAGGGAGTGCATTTCCCTTGCCTGGGGGTCTTCCAGCAAAAGCTGGGCAATCACTTTTCCTGTAAATAGTAGTGAGGATTCTTGTTCAGTTACTGGTTAGACTAGATGGCCCCTAAAATTCTGGGAATCCAGATTTTGTGATCTCTATTTATATTGGCATCTTCGTGCATCAGGGCCTTGAAAACAACACAGCAACCCATTTTGTTTTAAAAGAATGAGGACAAATTCATTCTCTCTCTCTCTCTCTCTCTCTCTCTCTCTCTCTCTCTCTCTCTCT